CTAGTATTAATTATGGATAATGGGAGTCATCTTTGGTTAGCTTTTCTATAAAGAGACGTTTTTGTTCTTAATACCACGAGGTCAAACCCTGTATTAATCCAATTTCTTCAGCTCTGTTGACCAGTACTGCTCACTAAACGGAACCGATAAATTTCATGTTGCTTTCTGAGCATCCTAAGATTATCGATTTGCCAGACAACGCTACAAATCTGTCTGAATTTCACGAAAGACAGTTAAAGTCGGGTTCGACCTCTGATTGTATTAATTAAAATCCCAAATCACATGTCTTCAATTCAATGCTTTTAGTTCCTGTATCAATCACAGTTTTTCTAGGAATTAGGTGGCGAGTACCAGAAATTAGTCTCACCAGAAAGCAACTACTCAGGCATGATCTTTGGCGTCAAGAAATACCTACGTCCCTTAATTTTAAAATATCCAATCAAGGGCCATCCAATACAGCAAATATGTCAAACATAATTCATAGTACTTTCTTTTAAACATGAGAAAAATATAGCAGTAATCTTAAGAATTTTCACATAGAAGCCACCACCTTGGACTGGACTGCAAGTTGTGTTCATCCGTGAAATTAAGATAGCTTGGCACGATAACTCCATCCACACATATAATGATGGTCAGCCTGGTTATAGCCAAGCTGGGCTGAGTAATTGATTGCTTCTTATTGGCCATGGGGTCACCTTCACCTGGAGTAAATCTATATGGCGGCCCTAAGACCTTTCAAACCCTAGAGTGCAAGCATGCGGTCAAATTAATTAAAATAATATATAAGAGGGCTATGAAGGTTCTTTCTTATAAGGTGCACTTGATTAGTTCATATGTGCTGTCAAAATTTTAACCTTGTTTTGGACGGACAGAGAGACAGTCCCCTGGCCTCTCGAAACATTTTTTTCTTAAATTGGGACAACCTTAGATATAGTGAACTAGAACAGTGTCTTCGACGCCCTCCTTCGGTTTCTTGAAGGGCTGCCAAGGGATAGCGGTTTAACTACTCGACATAGCCGAGAAATATATATATTCTTCCAGCAATGTTTTCTCATAGCAACGTAGGGAAGCACACGTGAGTCTCTGAGAATTACAGATATCTAAACAAAGGCCAGGGATATTTAACCGTTTAAAAAACAAAACAAGAGGCTGCTCTTCGATCGCTTTCGCTTCATATATTGAAAAATCTGAAATAACCTAGTGGAGGTTGTGACACACACTTTTGACTTCAACTCTAGGCCATCGCCTCCCTTGATGGGTTGCCTTCAATTCTTCTGATATTTGAAGATGGACGAACACCGAATTAATGAGAACAAAGTTTTGACTAAAGAATAAGTTTTGAGAAGATTGGGAAGCTTTGGGCCATGATTTCAATGTTGAATCCAACGGCAAGGATTGTTAAAACTCATTCTTGAAAAAATCTCTTCAGAAATAGCACTTCTGGTGCCAATACATCATAGTCGCCCTGTTGCTGCAACTTTCCGTGAGCAGAATTCACATTCTATGGCGGCCTGCTGACACAAACTCCAAATTGATTTGGCATCGGACACACAAAAAACCAAACTCATGGAAATAATTCCCTTCTTTGACTGTCACTGGTTTTTTCTTAATAAAAAGCATATAAATTTCTTTAGCTGTTTATTTCTTTTCCCTTTGCCATTTGACCACCGCCGGCCTGAATTTCCTGCTTTGATTTGTATCGTTCTTCAACTTGCTTTTTAATTATCTTTTTTTTAAATATCAATAAAAAATATATCAAAATAATATTATTTAAAAAATATATATTAATATTAAAACATTAAAATCATAAGAAGAACATATAAAAAACCAATTTGATATTTTTCATTCAAGTTTTTTTTAAAAAAATAAAAAGTAAAAGCTATTATGATACCAAATATATGTTAATTTAAGCTATTAGGTTAAGATGTTTCCTTGATATGGTATCAAAGTTTTGATCATTAAGTAATCTTAAATTCGAATCTCATTATCCTTATTTATTTGATAAAAATTAAATACAAGGTAATATGAATCTGAGTAAGTTTAAAATCTAAGAAGTTTTCACTTGAGAAGATGTATTAGAGAATAATATAAATTATATATTGAAACTTTATCTAATAACTTAAGTTATTGGATTGAAATGATTCCTTAACAATATACATATAGCGTTAATTAAACTATTTTTTAAATAAAAAAATATTAAATTGATGTTTTAAATATTTTTTTATGATTTTAAATGCTGATATTAAAAGTGATATATATATTATTTTAACACATTTTCTATTAATTAAAAAAAACACTTTTATGAAAATATATATTACCAAACACAAACTTCAAATCGAAAAACCAAGGTACACGTTTTTCCTTCGTGAAAGTGTCACCGTAAAGGGCATCCCAAGGAGCAACCTATTCCCAGTCTAGTTCATTTGGATTTCCAGATTCTCTTCCATTCGTCCTGTTAACTCAACAAGCATAGTCGGCAGCACAGCTTATATACCCAATTCATCTCAATTACACACCTTATCATTTTTTCGCCCCCCCCCCACAAGAGAAGCTCCATCTCTTGTAGGATCAAGTTGTTTAAAGCAATGGTAATGAGTTTGAATTTTTCATTAAATATTTATATAATTTTTAATTTTAAAATCTATAAAAATAATTAAGTTGTGCATAAATTGACCTGTATATTTATATTAATTAATAATTGTTTTAGAGTTAGGCTATGCAATAAGAATGCATGCTATTCTCTGCTTGTTGGTACAAAATCAGAATGGTTGTTGCGGCACTGCAATGGGATGAAAATGTTAGCTCTTCAAAGTGAAGTGCAATTATTTTCACTGTCAAACAGAGTTGCTATCTGCATTCTGCCGACGGAAAATTAAGTATCTTTTTCTCATTTAATATTATGACTGGGTTAATAAATAGTGAATGATATCGACATAAGTTTTGGGACCATACAACTTCGTCATAAAGCACTTGAGCTTTTATGATAATAATAATAAAAAAGTTTTTCAACAGCTGGCACCCTAATCTTCAGCAGTGTCCTTTTTTATTTCTTGTCGCTAATTTTTTTTATTAAAAAGTTGTCTCTCATTTGGTATTCGTTAGTCCATCTTCGAAAATCAAAAGAATTGAAGGGGTAACCCATCAAGGGAAGCATTGGCTGGAGTTTAAGTCAAGGGCCGTCACACCCCCCATCAAGTTATACGAGAATCTCTTTATATGAAGCGAAAGCGATCGAAGAGCAGCAGCCTCTTGTTTTTTAACGATTAGATATCCTAAGTGAAAGTACTGCAAGGATGTGATCGTACCATGGCCAAATATAATTTGTATTGGTATCTTTTCCAGCTGAAGGATTAGAGCTCGCAACACTGAAATTTAGGCACTCGAGAAGTTCTTTTCACTCGAGAGACAGTGACATTCTCTGGGAATCTTGGGAACCTCTTGATTGCCGAAAATGTTGAAATTTAAACACTAAAAAAACCCGGGGAAACAAATTTAAAGGTATAAGTAATAGCATCGTTGTGACATACATAACTTCTGAAAAAAGACAACTACAGGCTTGGGCTAATATGTATGGAGATAATGCATGCGTATAGAAACAAAGAATGGGTGCCGTCCAATCTTGTTGTCAAAACAAATATAACCTGCCACTATAAAGATCTGATTCACACCATTTGAAAACTGCATATCAGTTTCGAAAACAAAATATGGCATTATCACTAGCTGACTAAATGCACTCGAAAGATATAGGCATCTTGCTATTTGTACCTTTCTATGGACAGATGGGATAACAATGTTTAAGCAATGTGGGCAATGTAGATAACATAGCATAAGCTGATCAAAAGACAAGTAAAATTAGACAGCTTGGGCATCATTATTAAGATACAGGATAGCTTCATGGTGTTTAAGTAATAGTTGTTTGTTTTTCTGTTTAAAAATATATTAAAATAATTTTTTTAATTTAAAAAAATTATTTTTAATATTAGTATTTTAAAATAATTTTAAAATATAAAAAATTTAATTGAAAATAAAAAATCATTTTAAAAAAATACTTTTAAAATACAAAAACAAACCATTCTTCTTAATTTAACTTATTTTATAGCCATCTATCATGTCATACACGTTAAATCGTAAACCATGTATTGCTTCATGTCCTACAAGACTATGACCCCCAATATCCCTACTTGTGTCCCAAGTTGGAAAAGAAAGGAAAATAAAAGATAAATAAATTAAGGTGCATGTCAAGTTAGCTTCTAGGCGATGGTTATTGAAGAGCCTGTCCTGTGGGGATAAGTATGAGCCCACCCACCTACAGATCAGTGCAGAGTAAACGCGAGTGATTATTATTGCTATCTGCCTTTCTGAAAAATTAGCGATGGTGTTGGACGGCCATATACGGGACAATAATAGCAAGCTTTTTAAGATGATTCAGATCTTGAAATAACTATCCTGCTATGTCTAGTTCCATTATTGAGTGGCGGTATAGCCCTTAGCAAAGACAGAACCTTATCTAGAAAATGCAAAATGAACCACCTGGGGATCTTTTTCTTAGGCCTAAATCAGCTAAGTGTGTGTTTATGATGTTATGAAGAATATTTTGAAAAATATTTTTGAATTTAAAATATATTACAATAATATTTTTTTCATATTTTTTTTTTTGAATTTTTAACATTAACATATCAAACTATACAAAATCTTCTAAAAAAATCAATTTAATACTTTTCAAGTGAAAATCAATGCATAAAGCTTTTTGAAAAGCATAAACTAACACATTACCAATCGAACCAGCCCCGATGGTCCTTACCATCGAAAGTGAAAAACGAAGGAGAACGAAAGGGAGGGGATGGAGAGGAAAAAAAAAGAGGTGGGAATGATATTCTGTAATGGGCCAGGCCTAGACAAGCAAAGAATGTCCTAGGCTGCTAGCCAACGGTTACATCCATAAGCCTAAGCCCAGGACATAAAGTGAAAAACGAAGGAGAACAAAAGGGAGGGGATGGAGAGACAGAAAAAAAAGGTGGGAATGATATTCTGTAATGGGCCTGGCCTAGACAAGCAAGAATGTTCTAGGCTGCTAGCCATGGTTACATCCATAAGCCTAAGCCCAGGACATCAATTGCCCTGCTTGTTACATATTAGACGTTTTGTGAAGGAAAATGCAATGACAAGATATTTATCTTACAAATAAATACGATCATGTTCCCTTGGCATCTGCTTAGCAAGATCATGGAGGAAACGAGTGAGGGACTTTTTGGCAACTGTGATTGCAGCGTCCACTTCTTGCTCATTTTCTTCCGTAACACCCTTGCGTTCTTGAACTGCATGCACTCTCCGCACAAGTTTACGTAGTTCCTGTTCAATAGATGCCATGCCATCAATACACACAATAGATGACACGCAATTAAACTTTACCGATGAAGGCATTCATGCAACTAATTATTCAAGCCAACCATGGTTTCTGCTGCTTGGACTACCTAAAAGTGCATAGTATGGGTTAAATATGCTGGATTCGCAAGAGCTAAGTAATCGTCTGGAAGCAATAAGTCTCGGCCTATTGGTTCTTTTTGTTTCTCTGGCTGCAAATAAATGACAGGTTCCTGTTCATCTGGTGACTTCATAAGAATACTTGCCCCCTCATTTTTTTTTTTCTTTCAAGCAATATGTTTTCATTATCTAACTTGTAGTAGAAATCATTAGCCTACAATTAGCTTGAGGGGTCTCATGAACAAATCAGAAATGCAATGATTCTTACACTTGAGGTGACATTTCACTAACCTGACGGTCAAAATCGACGTTGCGAAATGAATAAACCTCGTTGGTAACTTTTATGTCCCTGTTAATCAGGCCATCAAACCATCTGGTTGCTACATCAATGTACTCGCGCGAACCCTGAAAATTGTACAAATAACAAAAATGTAGTATGTCAACATGGACATTGTATTCTAATTAAGCTTGAACTTTAGTAAGTAGAGAGGAATTTTTTTTATTTCTAGATAGATTTAACCTTCTCCATTTTCCGTAAGCGTAATTATCATAAAGGTCAAATATAGTATATTCCACTTACCACACGTCTTCAAGCTTCTGGTTATGGCAGCAAAATGCCTTACGACATATCAAGACTAAGGGAGACCCAAAAAAGAACTGTAGCAATAGATTTGCATTCAAAACCAAAATGGTAATGCAGAAACCTTAAATAAGGTCAGTGTCTCCATTTAACAGAATTTATAAAAGGAGTTGGACTGGAAGAAGATTGAAGAATTTGGCACAACCGTATAACCACTCAAAATTCACACAATTATAATTAAATGAAATAATTATTCAATATACCTCCTCTTCCGATTCGTATTCCCTTTCTTGACATTCTTCATTTTCCTCCCCAGCAATCTTTTCTTCCAAACCAGAAAAACGCTGCAGCCTACTCCAATCACCATCTTTTGTACAGTGAATCAAAGCATCCATCAATTCAGGTTCTACCTCCCGCAACAATTTCCCTACCAGTACATTTCACATAACAATGAAGACTCAAGAACACATTTATAATGCCTGAAACATTGATCTCAAAGATTCTCTACATGACAAAATATACACCTAGCATGGCGCACAGTTTACTGGGTTATTAAGAGAAATAAAATCCACGTCATGAAAATAAAATCTTTCTCATTAAAATAAGCAACGAGCCTTGCTCCATGCTAAGTAACATCAAATGTATTAGCATGGACCACAAGTCCAAAACTAAGAGTACTTGCACGCATGATGTCAATGTTTCTCAGGGAGGAGATCAAACAACGCAGCTAGCAAACCTTAATGTTTAAGAGACAAGTTACTAAACACTAATGTTTAAAAGATACAGAGTCCGACCAATACCAATATAATTATATTGCCTCCGCTTTCCTTCTCGAACATCCGGTCCTAGTCTCTGCGACCAAAACACAAACACCTTAGCTACATTTTTTTCTCTCGTTCTGAAACACGAAAGAAATGAAAAATCATCGCACTCCGGATGAGACGTTATATTACAACAGATGTACCTTAACTAGCATTAACGCATCGAATACGTCTTTCTCAAGTGAAGCCACTCTAAAAAATCGCAAGCAAAACATGAGAAAACTACAAAGAAAAGCTTTAACATTGTTGATTTGAGAAAAATAAGAAAGGGAGTTTGTGTTCATCACTTGATAATGCGGTTGATTTGAGGCGGAGAAAAGGAGGCCAACTCCATGCCCCAACGAACAGCGCGTCGAGCCTCGCGTTTTTTCTGGTTGCGGCTTTTGTTTGCTTCTGAATCCGAATCGCTCACATTTCCTCCTTGTTCGAAATCATACGGTGTTGGAGAATTGGGTAACTTGGGACCGCGTGGACGAAAAGGCACGCTACGATTAGCAGCTGCAACTTTAGTGAAAGAAACACGATGTGAGGTAGCTTTGGTAGATAAAGTTAAGGACTCAGAGAGGAGGTAATTGAGTGCAGCGTAAGAGAAGCAATGGTGATGCAACAGCGGCCACTGCCGGATCAGACGAGCCATTGCTACTACTTCTTGGATGCGCTGCAACAATGCTGCGACGGCAGGTCATTTTTGCAAGAAGAGATCGAGCCTGGCTCGGTAATTTCAAAAGCTCATTCCATTTCGGCCTGTAGCTCTAGCCCATTGGAAATAGATCTATGAAGAGAAAAGGGCCCCTGCTATATTCCCAAAGATGTGTTTCAAGATGATTTATTTAGTGTCCGTTTTGTTTTAATATTTTTTTAAAAAATATATATTTTTTATTTTAAATTAATATTTTTTTAATGATTTTAGATTATTTTGATATATTGATATTACAAATAATTTTTTTAAAATAAAAAAATATTATTTTAATATATTTTTTAATGAGAAGTATTTTATAAAACAATTGCAACCACACTTCTAAACATACTAACTTGATCAAACTAATAATTTAATTTATAAAACTCAAATTATTAATATTAAATTTTAAATTAAATTAAAAAAAATACTATTTTAGTTGAAGTTGATGATCAGTTTTATCATATAAATTAGATTAATCATTTATATTAAGAAAGTAAAATAATATTATTTTAATAAAAAAAATTAGACTAAGTTAGCTTAATAAACTAGCTAATGGTATATTCTTGTTTATTAAAAAATTTATTGTATATTATTAAAAAATTATGTAAATTATATATTAGCATTTTATTTAAAATTTTAAGTTGTTGAGTCAAATTAGTTTTTTAACATGATATAAAAATCTACTTAATTAAATGGCCATGAGTTTAAATTTTATTATTTTTATTTAAAAAAATTAAAATCAAATAATAATAATGTTAGCTTATATAAATTTTAAATTAATTAAAAAATTAAACAGTTAAAATAATTCTTTAACATATATTAATAAATAATTTAAAATAATAATACGCCATTCATAAAAAAAATCAGCAATGCACATATATATAAATAAAAAAATAGTGTTCCTTGACGAGTCAAGTGAGGATGCGTAAATAGGTAGCGGTCATGGCCGTAAAAACCCGACCCTGCCTCATCCTCTAGCGCCCCAAGTAAAAATTGAGTTTTCCGGGTGGGTAGAGAGGACATCCATTGGATTGGCCCATTTTTCCAAGATGATCTTGAGGATCATTTTGATAGCCCTCTAGACTTTCTACACAGGCCTCGAAATGGCCTATGTCAAGGAATCAAGCTTCTGTCCCATTACACCAATTGGTTTTTTTTTTATACACGGAGGAAGCTTGACATTCATATAGGTTTGTTTTCTCGTCTTCTTTCAAGTAAGAATTCATGTGTGTGGGATCAGTGCGGTTAGTCGGTCGCTATTTAGACTGCTGATTTGAGCAATAAATTTTACAGAATTGTGTTAGTTCGAATGCTTTGTCATGCTTGCTATACAGTTTGCCGTCAAGTCTTACCGAGATAAATTTCAAATAAATACTCGATGGTTAACGTATCTATCTTTGCCTGTATTTGCTGCCTTGGTTTCGATGTACCTTGAACTGTTCTTACCATTTACAGTTCAATAGAAAATACATGACGGCTTCGAGGACATTTGATTCTATTTGATAAAAAACCTCAGTAGCAACTCCACGAAAGTATCCAAACTTCTACACATCATGTTTTGAACAGAAGTTGTAAGCTGTTAGGTTACCCATAAGGACATGCTATCCATTATAATAAACTGATGTTAGCTTATCCGTGTAATACCGTCGAGGGATGGACACAAATTTTATGGTTTGATTTTTGTCATCTAGGATTTTATTTTATTTTACGCATTTCAAAAAAAGCTAAAAATGATTCTGATATCAATAATTCAAGGCGAAATACAGCCAAACTACTAAATAATTTAGCAGCTACCCAGCATCATTAGCTTCCCATCTTCCCCTGGTGGAGGCAGGAAATCCAGCTGCTACAGAATTTGTTGCCATTGTTGTTGCAGACGTTACAAAAGGAGAGCTCATTTGCCTTCCAGGTCAAAAAAGCGAACGGTCATAATCTGCACGTTGTGATGAAATTTTAGAGCCAATAAAAGAGGGGTAGCTTAAAGATGCAAGAGAAGATTTGGAGGGCATGGTTGAAAATACGCAGGCACTGGTTTTTCTTGTCTTTAAGTGCTGTTTGGTTTAACGCGCCGTTTAGCATCAAGTTCTAACCATGTTTTTATAAGTTTTCGAGTTTTTTTTAAAAAAAACTTTAAATTAATATTATTTTTTAGAATTTGTAATCAATCTTGGCTATAATTTTTAAATTTATAAATTCACGAGGTGGTTCGCATAAGTGATTACCATAAAAAAATTTCCATTAATAAAATACAATCACTTAGATTAAATTGTTATATCATCTGCTATTCCAGTCCAGGGAAATGGATCTCAATTAAATTAAGAACAAGGCCGAATAATTTGATGTCTCGAGCCTCAAGCCGAGGATTCCCTCTCTAACTTATTAGGACTTGGTTTAGGATCTTCCTTAGTACTTGGATCTCATGGGTTTTTAAAAGTCGAGCCTCGCATAGGACCGAGCAAGGATTTGTTAAAATCACTGCTATTAGAAACTTTTTATGCCGAGACAAATCTCATTTAATGGTAAGAACTAGCAAACGAGAAATTCCCGAATTAAATCGTCCCATTGAAGAAAGCTTCCAGTAAAACATGATTCAAGTATCAACTATTCCAACGCTATATGATAGGATCATCCAAATAAAACTGTGAAGTTGACTCATGGATGAATGAATAGATTATTTGTTTGTGTGTTGAAACAGTATTCGAATGTATTTTAAAAATATATCTGGTTTGAAAAAACATTATTTTTTTTTATTTTTTAAGATTTTTTAATAATTTTGACGTGTTGATGTTAAATTAAAACTAATATATATTTTTAAAAAGTAATTTTTGTAAGATTCAAAACTCTGAAAAGTATTTTGATTTCTGACATAGCAAAATGTCACTTGATCCAGGAGCCTGAATTTAATCAAGAAAAAGAAATTCGATGGCTGTGATTTGCGGGTTCTTGAAAGTGGATAAGAAGAAAGATGTGATGGTCCGGTAGAAGAGAGGCAATATCCCCAGATAAGAAATGCTGAGAGGAAGGGCAACAATGTCCCATCACTATTTTGCCTTCCCTCAAGCATGCTAAAAAGAAGAAGAAAACCAAGAATAAGAAATCGGCTAGAAGGATCCATGTGCTTATATGGTGTGCATGTGGCGATCTGAAAAGCACAGAGCATTTGCCGGCTTAAATGGCATTAGATGAAGGTAATATGTTCTTTTTTTTTGTTTTAAAAGTATTTTTTAAAAATATATATTTTTTATTTTAAATTATTTTGATATAATGATGTTTAAAATATTTTAAAAAATATATAAAATATATTTTTGAATATAAAATACTTTGAACAACTGATATTATAATTTTAAACATAATCTAAGAATCTGTTATGCTTGTTGAACTTAACATTATATAACTATAATTGTAATTATTGTAAATAATAAAGTTTAAAATATTATTTTAAAAAAAAATAATTTCTATTGATAAAATATTATTTTTTTATTAAATTAAAATATTAAAATTAATTTTTTCTCTCATATTAAACAATTTTTATTTTTATAAACATAATGTATATGTTAATGTTCAATTTTACTTAAAAAAATAAAAATAACAACTTTTATTTTTATAAACATAACGTTAATATGTTAATATTTAATTTTATTTAAAAAAATAAAATATTTTTTAATATTTATATAGTGAACTCTAAGTATTAACAAACAAAAAATAGTGAGCTTTTTTAGCTCCTCAATTAACATCTCTTTGAGATTAATTCTCTTAAAATTTAGGCTACTTGTCACAAATGAACTCTTTAATTTTTTAAATTTATTTTTCTTACTACCTGTTGTATACTGTGCTAAATTTGATTTTCCACCCACTTTTCCTACCCACCTCTCTTTTTCTATCCAAACTTCCCAATAATTTTTTTAGAGATCGGAGTGTGTCCACTTTACAAGACATGGAGGATATATCCTGTTCATACATTTTGAAAATTGAAGCCAATTGTTTCTGAACTCCAAGAAGTTTCAGATTTTCTACACCTCTCTTCCAATCATTGAGCAAAATTCATCCATATGGCTTACAGCACATGAGACACTCCATCGGTACATAAGTTTGAAACTGAAACTCTGTTTCAGTTATATCAATCACTCCAGATGCTTCTCAAACCAACATGGATAAAACTAAATTGTCAATAAAAATAGAATCCAGGTTTCATTCCGTTTCCATTTGTAAATGAAGCATACTTCACGAATAAAATTCTAACTCCTTGAAATATATTCCAGTACAAGTATTATGATGACGAAAACAGAGGCCTTCAATTAGTACTGTTCCAACACATCCATGTCAAAATCATAGCATTAGCATAAGTGAGAATCAATAATTCCAGGCTGAAAAAATGCCGCCTTGGGACAATGATACAAGAGATTGAGGTCCAATCTTGACTATTTACAACAGGAAATAATCCCCAAAATGTGAGGAATTGGGGATCAATACTGTATCTTACTATTTCATCTAGCAATCTAAAGGGCTAAAATCGATCATGATCTATAATTTTACGGCCTCTTTTCGCATTTACCAGCACTGATCAGTTTCCCATCTCCGCCTTGTATAGCCAGAAAATCCAGCAGCTGCATAGCGTGTTGCCATGGTTGTTGCAGTAGCAGCGGACATTACAAACGGAGAGCTCATTTGCCTTCCTCGTCTGTAAAGGGAGCGATCATAATCAGCCCGTTTTTCAGGATCGGACAGAGTTTCGTAAGCTTCATGGACTCTTATGAACTCATAAGCGGTGTCTTCCCTTTGACAGTTAGCTGCAACATCAGGATGCAAAACTCTTGCTAGTCTTCGATAAGCAGTCTTGATCTCTGTACACGTAGCACCCATTTGAATCCCAAGAACTTCGTAGAGAGACGATGCTGATGTTGGTGTCGCAGTGCATGATGTGGGTCTCTCGGCAGTGGAAGCGCAGGCGGCGCGTACTCGAAAAGGGCGGAAGCTGACACGAGATGGTGACGTATGAGGCTGATTAGTGGAGGTTTTTGAGCCAGTGAAGGGGTATGTGGAGGAGCTA